ACCTTATCAAGGGTTCAGCGCAGTGCCCCACGTGGGATTTGAACCCCTGACATTACAGGTGGTGACTCCAGCGGCCCAAACCCCCATTCCACACTGCTGCCCGAGCACAAGTGACCTGCCATTCCCCGTTCGCCTCTCTCTGACACACCAGATGTGCTCCGCAACGGGAGGTGGGAAGGCTGTGTCACTGGCACGTACACATGGGGAGGGAAGTATTTTAAATGCCCCAGGGCGCATTGTTAATGGGACGAAAAGAAAAAGAGTGTAGGAAGCACACTGAGGAACAAGAACAAAGGCCTGGCAATTTCACAGAATTTGGCAGAAAATTAGAAGCTGGAGCTCCAGCATGGTATTGGTTTTAAATGGTTATCCAAACAAACATGCTGTTGCTATGGGAACCTCAGATGTATTGACAACATGTTTAACATGAATGCATGTACCCCTCCCCAGTAAAGGCCCAGGCACCCCAATTCCTCTAAATGCCTCGGGCCTAATGCCAAGGCTCCTGGTGCTGCTGAATAAAGTCAATACTTAGCAAAACATACATAAACTTTTCTCTTAACTTGCAGAGCTACTTTTCTTTGTGAGGGCAAACCTGTATCTCTGGACAAAAGACTACTTCCTTGTCCTGATGCCCACAGTTTTTTTGTCTCTATATCTTGCTCACATGTGGACAGGATATTTATGGAAAAACTTTTAATGGAATCAACATGAAAAAAAGCCGGATTAGGGAGAGCGAGTGACATTTTCTGACAGAGTTTTGCTTCAGCCAGCAAATCGATTAAGCAAACAGCCGCGAGTCAGTGAGAAAATAAAAAAAAAAACCTGGCTAGAAACGGACAATAATGAAGGCTGTGAAGATCCGTGAGAGTGGGACAGGCCAGATTGATAGCCAGACAGTGCTGATAGAGCAGTCGGCTGCTCATTCCCCTCCCCGAACTGCCCGCTCACCCCCACTTCCGAAAGCTCCAGTGCCGAAAGACAGACTGCTCCCTGCCTCCATGGATGCTGTGCCGGACTGTGCTCGGAGGGGAGGAGGGGGTCTGCAGGGACCACTGCTGTACAGCCAGCTTTCTGCCTCACATCCTGTCAAAGCCGCGGGGGCCTGGCCTGATCTCATTAACATGCACCACAGGAATGTGTTCCAAGGAAACATATTGCTTTACCTTATGGAGACAACCTAAGTACGAGCATTTAAATTGTCTGCAACCAAAAGGGCTGTATTTTCCTGTAAGGACCAGAAGGCAAAGGGGTGGTAAAGCACTGTGTTGCTTCTTTGGTCTGCGAGCTTTCTGATCATCTGCAAAGCAATTGTGTGTCCAGTCCCCAAATTCAAATCTAGTATCTCAGCCGCAGCTGGGCTACAGCGCAAACTGGCCTCCAGCAGACAAGAAGCAGGGTGCTTTTATGGTGCTTTTATGCTCTCTGTGTGCCTCACTCACAGCCTAAACCTCCCATTTCTGAAAGGAAACTGTGAGATATTTTGTCAACTTTGAGCTGTGCTGCTGTGAGAACAGTGTATCTAGCATTGTGCTGAGAGCAGAAGTGTGGGGAAAAGAAGGAGTTTTAACATTCTTCTGAAGTGGGATCATATTAATAGGTCTGTTGTCCAGTACCTTCCCCTGTCTGTCGGTAAGGGCTCACAGACACAAATGTTGCACAATATTCTTTACTTAATTCTGTGTTTTTTTACTGTTTTTTTTCCCCTAACATTTCATACAGTATATGCTCCACTTCCTTGGCTTGGTATGGAGAAAAAGAGTCTGAGGAGGTCGGTGAGTGCAGGTCAGAACACCTGGCTCCATGAGAAGTGGACACGGAACACTGACCAGCAGTGTATCCTGAAGGAAAACTCCTGTACTTCTCCAGACATGGCAAGAGGTGGGACAACAGGAAGAAGAAGAAAAAAAATCACACCCAGGTATCTTCCCAGGTGAAATCATATCACGAGGAAACAATGATACTTTGTGACAGGTATCATAGTTCATTACATTAAAGCAGAACTCATCTCGATGCAGCCTGATGGCACACCCCTGACAATGTGCTGGTATGTGGCACGGTAGTGCTCATACAGTATACTTCTCTGTTTCATCTGATGGCACTGTTGTGTAAACCCTTTCCACCACGGTTTCAGCTCCAGCTGTTACATAACGGAAGTGGAATGACAGCTTGAATTAGTAACAGGTCTTTCTGTGAGATAATTGCTAGTTTTGGTGCTGGGGGGCTGCTGAAATAATTGCAGGTTGTCGGGGGAATCTGTTTACAAAGGAAATTGCTTCTTGTAACAAAGGCAGTATGGCTCTCTCCTATTCCCCAATTCCAGCAGCCGTTTCCAGTGAAGTTCTGGATGATACGGTATAACTAAGCAAGTATTCTAATCATTCATCTGAGTAATTCCCACTGTGAGCTCATTAGCTCTATCTTAGACCGCTACCTTCCTAAAGTACAGGAAAGGACCCTGGCACTGCTCCGGCTGCTGGGCTCTTTTAAAGAAGGGCAGTTTGCCCTCAGATATTGTTTGCAGTTCCCCTAAAAGATGCCTCCAGCTGTTTACTAATGTTTATTCAATATGTCATTATTGTCATTAAAGACATTTTTGTACCCAAAGATACTTTTTACCCACGCACTATCAAACTATGAAACTCCCAGCATCTCTCACCTACGATCTGAACCCTCACAGTGCCTTCTCTCTTAACAAAACTCAAACACACATTGAAATCTACCTCTACCTCACATGTCAAGAAGTTCACTCCCCATAATTTTCTATCCTTATCTTTATCTATCCTTATTTCATTCTGTTGATGTATGATTTTGCACAACTGATGTTGTTTTGCACATTGCCTGTTGTCTCTTGTCTTTCTTTTCTTATACAATTGTATTGTTGTTGCTTTTTGTACTGCTTACCGTCTGAGGGCTAGCTAAATAGCATTTCATTATACCATATACCTGTGTATGAGTACAATGACAATAAACTTGAACTTTATATTAGATAAAAGGCAATATTTATACCAGTTTATGTAGTTGGACATTTTCCGGGAGCTACCTGAGTGAAGTACCTTGCTCAAGTGTACAACAGCTGTGCCTCACTCAGGACTGCAACCAGGGTCTTGGAATTTCTGAGCTTTCAGTGCAAGAAGCACCAAGAAAATGCAGAAGAAGCTGCAGGGGTAGGGTGGGGTTCAGCAACACCGGCAGGCTCGTGATACTGTTGGTGAGGGACACACCTCTTCTCCAACTGGCACTGATCCCCTGATATGGGGCCGTGCTGCCTGTGATGTGCTAAAAGGCGGGTATGTTGGAGGACTCTGCCTGCTCTGTGTGTTAGCCGAAACATAAAAACACAATTGGTTATTCCAAAGTTGGATGGGTAAAACAAAGATAACTGACAATACTAAATGAAAAAAAAAAAGAATGGGGAGACCATAATGTCGAGTGCAGGGATGGAAATAACAATTCAGTTGTACAGTAATTTGAGATAATTAAAGCTTCAGAGGCTACAGGCTCTTGTATATTAACCAGTACCAGGTGCTACATATTTCATCTTTGACAACATAATTCAAATAGGTAGATGTTAAGATCATTTAATTGTTTCTTAGGTTATAAATTTTAAGATATGGTTTGTACAAGCCCCTGCAGCTGGTGAAAATGATCCAACTGCCGTGCAGCCAGAGTCCGATTTCCAATCGGAGAATAAAATATTACCGCCCCTCTTGCTTTGGCCAGCACCTGTGCTGTTCGGCATTCATAAAAAATCGATTTATTGGTCCTCTCATGTTCTAGATTAAATTGCGATTTCAGCTTACAGGCACTGAACTAGTTCTCCAGGCACTCCTTTAGTCTATACCAGTGGGCAGCATGGAAAGAAGCTCACTGTTCATATGCAGTTTAAATATTTCCCCTTCTCGCTGGCAGAGACATGAGCTCATGCGCCGGGCCCCGCTCTGCTCCTCATGGAGCGCGGGTCTGTATTCCGACCACACGAATGCTGTGATGCAGTGCACCGCTCGGACTCCGAGACCCTTTCTCACAGCTGCGCCTCCCAAGGCTCCCACTAAGCAGCGGCCGATTTGAGAAAATCAACTCAAGCTGTTAACCTCCGAGAAGGAACATTTCGAACAATGAATCTCAGAGGCGTTGATTTGGCCCTTGAAGCGTATAGGAGTAGCTTTTATGTATTAAAAAAAAAACTTTCTTAAAAATCTGCAACCAATACACAGTATATCACACCAGTAAAAACTTTGGAGCAGTCCCGGCTGTCCAGAAAGCCACTGAACTGAAGTTTAGGGAAAATTATGTCACAAAGAAACATGGCGAAACAGCATCATCATAATAATAACGTCATGCAGCTGATCCCTTCGTCCAAAGCATCTTACAGACACTGAGGAGTAAACTATGCACCGACAACTGATGCAGCAGGGTATAGTTTTTTGTATAGCACATTTAAAAGCATTCATCTCAGTAGCATACAGAGGAGGGCACAGGAAAACACTGGATCAGAGAGACTGGACCAGACGGTTGTGGGCCCAAATCCCAACTGGAAAGCTTGGTTGTCGGCACATTAAGAGGGTCGTCATTGCCAAATGAGAATATGTTCTCAGTGGATCTTATTGGTAAAATAAAGGATGAAAAAAGTAGAGATGGGACTTCAGCTGGTAACTGCGTTAACCACTGAACCACCACCCAGCCTCCATTAATGAACACAAAGATGCTACTGATGTACTGAGGAGACCCGCATGGATACACAGCCAAAATGAACACGATTCACTCGCTATTTTGGGAAAATCGCAGGAAAGGTTAAAAATCTAGCATGCCGACGTGGCCATGAGGAAAAGAGAAGTAAATAAACTGAGCCGGGGTTTATTTAGAGTTAGGAGAAGCGAGCAAAATTGCAGCGGTGTGACGCCTTCCTGTCTGCGACCAGAGTGGCGCCGCCACCGCCCCACACGGCGTGTCCTTTCCCAGGACGGGCCGGCTGGCAGGGCCGGGCATGCAGGGCCTACCTGCAGCAGATGACAGCCTTGCAGGACAGCGCCAGGTCCAGGAAGGACTGCCGCACCTCGAAGGAGAGGGCGTACTTGAGCGTCTGGCCGTCGATGATGAGGGCCAGCTCGTTCTCTTTGCCCAGGGTGTCCCCTAGAGAGGCGCAGTGGGCCGTCAGCGTGGCTCTCGTCGCCTGGGGAGGCAGAGGAAGAACAGAGTGAGAAGGGGGGGGGGCTTTGCCAAGGTTACCCCAAATTGTAAAAAGACCATTTGTAGCCTGGGCTTTCCCGTGCTTTTACAAAAATAATTTACTGCGCTTTATCAGGATTTATTCTGCTTTAAGAGTGATTATAGCTCATTGGCATCTGTAGGAGAAGAGTCTCTAAGTAATTTACCCTACACTATAACCACAAATCCTTATGTGCAGGTGTAATTGGTGCATTTGCCAAAAAATATTTTACATTCAAACACTACCATATAACCAGTGCAACATTTTTATTAGACCATTATGATTTAATGCTATTGGCTGGGTACCTTAAATAAGAATGATGAAAAAAGGAAAACAGCGTGCTGTGAAAATGAAAACAGTTACTTGCACTGTGTTAATTCTCCAAGGCACTACAGATAAAGAGAGATAACAGGTACTGTACTAATCCCACCATCAATTATCTTTACTGTGACATCTCATACCTTTTTTATCATTCTGGACTCTTAACACAGCACTGTAGAACATAAATAACACAAAATCACAAAATAAATCAAATTGTCTCTGCTTGTTCAATTATGCAGTTACGCTCAAACAAAAGTACAGACAAGCTGCAACACACTAATGCTAACTCAGTTTCTTAATTCACAGCTCCTTGAAACCAAACAGGTCTTCCGGTTTAAATTCATTTTTTACCTTGTGATAACAGTCCTAGTCACAACATATCACTAGCTATGCTGTCTTTTATCTCATTGTTTTCTGCTTCACTGTTCTGGAGAGATGGTTATAGATACGGGCTCTGCATGCCGGGTGCTGAGACATGCTCACAGTTAGGCTGAATGTACAATGTGCTTTTATTGCTCTGTCTTAGGCATGTATGACTAGTAACGGAAGTAAAGGAAGAGGGGGTCTAGGCTACCATCAATTTTACCTTTCTGTTAGCATTTTAAGCAAAACACCGTTTTCTTCTGACACAGAGCGAGAAAGGGGGAGAGGATTAGATCTGGGTACAGTAAGCAACAGGGAAGGATGAGATGAAAGTGGGCGGTGATGGAAAAGCAGGGAGGTGAAAGGAGTGTGGATAAGAGCTTGTGGGAGAAGGGAAAAGAGGAGCCTGACCTCCTCAACTACAGAGGATCTCTATGAAAAGAAGTGTCCTTGAACAGCAGAATCCTGGTATTCCTATCACAGCTTGAACCAGATCGTCTTTCTCCCCAACCACTGCACTACTGACCACATCAATGACTCGCACAACCTCCTCAACAGGCATGTAAACGACACAAGAAAGGTGAAAGTGCCTGTTTCGTTTCAAAAAAGCCTTTCACTCCATGTGGCACTAAGTTCTGCTGCTCAGTCTATTTGACAGTGGCATAGACAGGAAAACCTGTGACACCATCAGGAATATGTACAATGAAAACCAATGCAGTGGTTCTTACAAGAAAGCTGTGCAGTGAGAGAGGGATACAGTCTAAAACAAGTCTCTTCAACGTCTATAGATCAATGAGCTGGCCTCAGCATGTCATTCCCTATGCTCACCCTTCACCAGTCCAGGATCAAACTGCGTCTCTAATAGTGGACCTAGCCATGCAGCCACCCACCTACACCTAGACAAGACCAGATTCATGGTTTTTCAGGCATAGGACACCTGCCTTGGTCTAACAAACCCAGAGGAGACTGCCTGAAATGGTTCACAGGGTTTTCTACTTCAGCAGGAAATGGCTATACCATCTTAAACACTCCATGAGAATCTCACTCCAGATTTTCTACAGCAAAATCTCCATCAGTTCTCCAGTCCAAAAACAAGGTTTGGGCACAACAGCTCATCTGAGATCGCTCCCCTGGAATTCTGCAAACACCTCCTGCAGCTGCAGGGTTGAATTGTGCCAAGAGTCAGGGGCTCGCCCTCAAGCAGAGCCTGACAGTGGGTGCCACCATCAACACACATGCCGAGGAAATTAAAAACTAATACCTCAATCTGTAGAAAGAAATGGCTGCATGGGAGAAGAAAGCAAGGGGAAAAGGGACGAGGGGGTAGAGAAGAGAGTTGTGGGGATGAGAGGGGCGGAGTGGGAGTTTCCACGGAGAGGGAGTTGCAAGCTCACTGCGAGGGTGTTAATGGTGCTATACCCCAGCCTGAACACCAACTTTAATCCATTTCCTCCCGGCCTCTCCAGCTGTTCAATTTACTGCACTCTGGAGCTGCAGTGCTGGCAGAAGCCCTAAACGCCTTGAAAAAAACATCTGACAACCAGCGCTGTTTTCAATCACACAGTTCACAGTGGCAGATGGAAGCACTGGCACTCTGTGTCTGAAAGGGAATGCCAATACTCACTAATTTAAGGTAATAAATGCTGGTTGTTAAAACACACAGATCTGCTTACCAAGTTCACCTAATAATTCAGCCTAGAAAGTGGTAGCTAAGATATTTGAGCCAGTTAAATAGATTTAAGATTCACAGAGCAGCAGGTCCCTTATGCCATAAATAGATGTTTTTGTTCCACAGTAAAATGTATTTAAACATCCAATTGTGGTAAGAGGTTTATAATGGTGTGGGCAGAGTGGACATTTCATTGTCTCCCGAGGTCAGTCCTGCCATGTAGATGTGCCAAGAACTACAGCTGTATGGAAGCATTCCCAGTTCACACAGCTATGGAGGGGGGGAAACTGCAGAAAGAAGTGGGGAACAGCTGGCGACTTTACAGTATTATTTATTTTTTCTTTATCTTTTACATTCTTCTTCCATCCATATTTGTACACAGTATAGAGGCATCTATTCAGCACCATAAGCTTAAAGTCTTACTTTTGTGCACCTTGCTCTTGATGTGTCAAGAAACTGTTGCAGTGTGTGCTCCAAGAACTGCAGATTTTCATCCAAGTAAGGGCAATGGTAAAGGTGAAAACTGCATTATTTTTCACGAACTTAATCTCTGACGCATCACGGCACAGATAAACACATAATCTTTGGCATTTATTATAGAGTTCGTAGTAGACTTTTTTTTTTCAATTGTGTCACACACCTTTGTTTGCTAAGGCTTGCCTTGAAAGCTCACAGCAGTCTTCAATGGCTGTCACTCAATCTAGCTTTTGTTGGACTTGGATGAGAATTAGCTTAGTGCGGAAGAGACGTTCCAGACAAAGGAGTGCTGTTGGGATCAGTGCTAATAGAGGCAATTACAGCCTGGGTTCAACGGGAATGTGTTCCCGGGAATGCTATTTCTTATATACTGTACATTATAAGCGACATACAGTAGGAGGTCTTCACTGGGGTATCAGTGATGGAATGACTGATATTTTCTGACAGAATACTTAAAATACAAATTAAAGAGAAAACAGTTTATGTTTAAATTACAGTTACAAAAGAAAGGCATACAATGTGGCTTGCAGCAATACTTTTGGTGCTTGTGCAGATTAACCATTGTCATTCAATGACCGGGGGGGGGTAATAATCACAAAAGTTACAAAATAAGGTCACATAATAATTGATAATAGTGCAATAGAAATTGAATAAAATAAACTGAGACAAAACTCAGTATAAATAGAGCTGCTGTGTGTCCAGGGTGTATACAATATATTATGTCCAAGTAGTGCAGTATGCCCAATACAATGAAAACTGTGTGTCCATGTAGCCATTACTGGTGATTTGCTGAAGGAACTGCAGGTTAGCTATTTAGCAGTCTTATTGCCTGGAGGTAGAAGCTGTTCCGTAATCTGTTGGACTTTGACTGAATGCTTCGTTTCATTCTGTGCACCGAACACGCTCTGTGCTGTACAGATACAGACTGGGGTAATAGCCTGTCAGCCAATAAGACAAAAGGCAGGTGAAAAATGCTATGGGAGACCCACATCAAGTGAGAAGCACTCCACAGCACCCTGCTCAGGTATTGTGGTGCAGAAGCTAAAATAGGTGCCTAGCATTACAAATCTTCCAGAAAATACTTCTGCATTTAAAAATGTAAGCCAAGAATGTATTAAACAGGACAGGCACAGAGCAGGAGAGATGGATGAAAAGACAGCTGGATATAAAAAGGTGAAACAAGGAATAAAATCGAGAATAGGGGAAGCAACAAATCCAAATGAGATGTCTTTCCTGTCTGGGGTAACGCATAGCTGGGATGCCTGGCACCTGCTGCTATGAGGTCAATAGGTCAGTGATCAGTGAATTCCTCCTCTAATACAAACAGAACCACATGTGTTTTTTAAATACTGCGTCAAACAGCCTCACTCTGACGGCTACAAATAGAGCAATCAGCACAATTATCATACCATCATGCCTTGATCCCCCCGAAGGGACTCAAAATTGCATCTAATTCGAGTGGTCGACTTTGAGGAATCAAAACCTTTGAAACTATGTGCTGCTGCAGCATGTAATTTCTAGTACAAGTGAAAGGGTAAATTTACTGAAAAAGCTTCTTGGGTCATTGATCATGCTCGTACTGAAAGGTCCTATAGCTTACCATAGTGCGTGCATTTCTATTTGCTTTTATGTTTAAAACGAGGGCCCTAATTCAAAGAGAAGACTTCAAACACGGGTCCTCCATGTTCTGAAAATGTCTGTGGACTCATGCTCTCACACAACAAGATGGATAATAGCACACTCCTTTTACCACAGAGAACTGCACTCTAGACTGTGTGATTTCTACATCAGTGATTTAAGGGCTCACTCATCTGGTCTTGTGGACAAACACTCTTAAATTCACATCCACTGGTTATCCCAGGCATTGTTATTTGACCAAGATGATCAGGGATACCTCTGTTAGTCCCATCTGAGCCTCTGATTTAGGTTCTGTGTACACAACAGGGTGTAGTAAAAAAACCCAAGCAGCTAAGTGATTTATAGATTTTTAGTGTCTCTGGCTGAGGAGACTAAGTCAGTTCAGCTCCATCTCCACACTGAACCATTCCTCCGAGACACTGAGTCACTGAACAGATGCGTTCAGTGTTTAAACCCCCAACAGTGAGGGTTAACATAGAGACAGGACCACTAATCA